CACATGTAGTTACTTTAAGGAAATATCCCTCAGCCCATATGTATAAAAACTAATTTAATCATACTTATATAAGCCACAAATGAGAAGGAGTAAAAAATCATACGTTTATAACATGGGCTGATTTAGAGTAAATAATTATATAAATAGGCAAAGTTCACACTTAATAAAACTAAGAATATAAGTATTCCATGTGCATAATATTTGTGATTGAGTAAGATCTTTTAAAAAGACTTGTGCATAATACTAAAATTGGTTATTGAGATTTATCTAATCATAAAAATAAAAATAATCTAAGAATCTAAATACCTGCGATAAGAATTCCTATACGAAATAAACTTACAAGAACCCATTCGACCATCAGGCAATCGTCCAAGATTTCGCCAAGTGTTATTTGCTGGCGAGTAGACTTCCACAGAGTCCCATTTATTGTCATAATCACCAGCTCCACCAAAGACATATATTTCGCCCTTGTAAAAGCACGCAGAAGCACGAAAATGGCTTGTGAGGATGAATAAAATGAAGGAATAATACTAATTAAGTATCATATCAGCCAGTTGAGCAGCCAAAGTTACATATATGCCAGAAGTAATAGTCGGAAAATCAAATGAAATAGTAAAATAGTATCAAAAAGTAAAGAATAATTGATTGGCGTATTTATGAGGGCCAGATTCAAATAGATGAAGGAATTTCTACCATTATATGGGTGATGAGCTTTTAACTTACATAGTAACAATAATCTTTGTATGGTTATGAGAGTTTGATTAGTAAACATTTGAGATAAATATTTCAAACTGGCTAAACCTTAAGACAAAAATTAATGGCATGAGGACACACTCTTAGACAAGAAAGTCTTTGCATATAAAGATAATATCCATATTGAAGCTGTGGGTCACAAGTATGCGTATCCAATAAAGGTTCAAAGATAGGAGATGTTGTTTAGCAAACATTCTACATCTCCCTCCATGCTTATCCCCAGATATACTGTGACAGTAATAAAAATTAGTTGACTATTAAGGGCTGTTATAGAATAGAATGACGTAAGGAGTGCCATTTTAGTTTCATATAATTAAATATTCAGACAGCAATATGCCAGTGAATTTCACTTAGTCTTGTCGCACCAAATGTATGCTCTTCCAAAGAGGGCTCCAGTTTCGCCTAGGTATAATCAGAATCCCAAACGGGACTCAAAACCAAATCGTGCACATCAGGAGACAACAGGCTATCAAGCCGCCGTAGCTATGGGTATCAGTGTATCGCAAGGCAGTTATAATTAAGCATTTGAGGCCAAATAAAAATCATCATACCCGATTGACATCTCTGCTGCGAACTGCCAACCAGAGGATACTTCTGCTGTATTTAAAAACTCCATGGTCTTCACACCACCAAAACCGCCAATGGTGTATATTTTGGCCATAATCGAAATTGCCATATTTCCATAACGTGGTTGACGGAGCCGCTGTTTCATAGTTTGCCAACCTTCATTGAGAGCGGAAATATCAAGCACTTCACACGTATCTAATTTAGAAGCTGTTCAAAGGGTAGGTAGTAAATTTCCAAGGATAAAGTTTTGTTACCGAATTCCAGAAGCAGTAAAACTTAAACGATAAAAGGTGTAAGAATGGACTACCATTAATCTATCCTTTATAATTAAGAGCAAGAAAGATACAAGAGATAAAAATGCTTGGGATATAAGTATCATAACCCCATTTAATATTGTTTATATGTGAGTTTCGAAATTACCAGTAGATCATATATGTGAAAGGTATTCCCCCTATTTCGGTTAAGGTGATGGAGGAGTGGTAATTGAATTTTTTGCGATTATATGAGTAGGCTTCATGTTACCGTTGAATAGCACATAACTTTGCCTCCCAAAAGGTATTCTCATCCAGGTTGGTATGGACCGCAGCCTGAACCTCACCTAGGTCTTATCAACAACCTCAGCAGCGACGTATGCTCTCAACACGTTAACTACACCCGATATGTAATGGAAATTGACATATCTTGAATGCAGCTTTCACCCTAATTAATAGCGAAGGCTTTCCCCAGAGCTTTAATTAAAAGGTGAAGATTAAGGTGTGAAAATCTTTTATCCATTAGTGAGCATCCTTTAAGTTCTTTGGCAGAAACAATAGTAAAATAAGGATAGGTGACGTTCATTTCATACCAATACTAAAGTGGAAAGTTAGTAAAACCTTACAGATTCAAAAGAAGTTACCAAAATTAATGAAATATGGAAATGCCTACAAGAAAATCCAAGACCGCCAATTGCGAAGATCTTTCTTCCTATGCTGCATAGGCCAAACTCGCACCTACATGTTTGAAGCTTGGGGCCTACCAACCAGCGAGATTTTGCTATCTCGAAGATAAAAGTGCTAGGAGATACTGTGCCACCCTTGCGCTCACCGCCCACGACAAAAACAATGTCACCTTCTGCGAGGAGGGCCGATGCCCGGTCTAGACGCTCGTTATTGGGTAGTGCACCAAGACGCCAGGACTGCCATCTAGAAGAGCCTGAAAGAGAAACACACGTAACGTCCGCGAGGCGCCGATCAGATTTGCAATCCCATCCACCAAACAGACAAAGCACATCGACCTGAAATGACGAACGAAACAAGTAGAGGGAAGAGAGTTTGATTGAGCAGATATAAAAAGAACTTTAGTGATAATATTTGTTTCATATAACCATTACAAATATACCAAAATGGCATGCACTAAATCATATAAAAATGTGCTGCATATAATAAGATACGAAGAAGAATGTACCTGAACTAATATATTAAAATCTTGAGTAAAATATGAGATTTCAACAACTACACGCTCTACGCTTTTTAATAGAGATAATGAAAAATTAAGAAAAAATACTGTAATCACCCTAGGCCTCATAAGGGGATGAAGGACTGGGAGATGAATTTTTTCACAATTGCCATTGAATCTTACTTATCTTTGCCTCCCAAAAGGCATTTTCATCCAAAGTTAATTGGATTTTCAATATCACAGGGTCATATCAGCCCCCTCAACAGGAATCAAAATCGGATAGTAAAGCGTAATGCTACCGCCACGCCACACTACAATGGGTGCCAGTGCATAAGAGAGAAGGCATGAATTTAAATGCAAGCCATGCCCCATTTATATTAAATTTGTGTAGTGGGAATTCAATAAAATAAAACATTAAACTATTGCATAGAAATAAAAATCTCTGTCTAAAAATAAAGTAAGCGCTATGAAGATATAAATAAATTATGGACACGCTTCATCTACACATAAGCAATAGCATAACATGAAAATTTTCAGCTGCATCAACCTGTAAATATCTAAAGATTATAAGAAGTAAAAGTAAGTTTGATTAAGGAGACATGTTTGATTAAATCCTCATTACTATTCCTCCCTTTCATGGACTTATAAAAAAGAGATTATTGAATTAGCTCATAAATATGGGATTACGAAATTCAAATGGCTAAATCAGTAAAGCTTATTAGCCTTTGTAGTCAAAGTACTTTGATTAGTATTTAGCTTCTAACCCATTGTCACAATATGGATAAAAAATCAAGATGGGAATTTTATATTCAGAAGACCGTGTGCCGGGGACTGATATTCTTCAGGTGGCGATCCACCCAACAGGAATAATAGCATAAAGACTTCAAGGGCAAGACGTTTTTATTTAGTTAAAAATAAATATAGGGAAAGCTGACTTACCTGCTCTTCTGGAATGTCAAAGCAGGAGGATGAAGTAGCAACGGCATGAAGATCTGTAGGAACTGATGGCTCGGAGCGTTGACCAGGCTCGGCCTCCTAAGAGAACAAATTTCAGTATTGAGTGCTAAAGCAGTTTATGTCGCTGGTGATGCTGGTTAAACCTAGTCGAGATCGAAACCACGGTAAAATATGAGAAAGTTCTTTTGAGCCATAAAAAATGATTAAAATAGCTAGCAAGAGCAAGCTTTTATCGTTATTCATCGTAGATAGTCTAAAGCAAGGCCAGTAAACCAAGATGGCATATAATAGCAACCGCTTACAAACCAGACATACTTTGTGTCGAGAAATAACCTGCATGGGTTAAATCAACATTGAGCGATACGTATGAAAAATCCAATTCAGGAGAATTGATGGATCAAAAATGTTTAAAATTCATAGTTAAAAATAAAGTACAGTAAAAAAAAAGTTAAATTCATATAGGAGGATTTAAGCCCCCCAAACCATCAGTTAATGACCAACTACATTACCGAGAAGCAGAGGTCAAAACTAACTTAGGTACCGATAGATTCTAACAAACTGGCCCTAACACAAAACAACATTTTATTTTATTAATGTGTTAGAAAGATTGGAGAGCTAATAAGTTCTCCGAGTCCCATTAAGCCAAATCTTAGAAAAAAAAGTCAATAGACAGAGAACAAAAAACGAGGCTAATTTTCAGGCAATATGTAGACTTGAAGAAAAACTGGGTTTCGAATAATTCCTTAAATTACCTTAAATTACTTATACCTTTGATCCCGCAATGTTACCGCATGTCATTGTGTTTCATTGCACACGTGTTGTGTGATATGAAATTCGAAGGAAAAGTTCGTGGAAAGGAACTCGTGAAATGGTCCTATTGAAAACCAAAGAAGGATTGTCACGGAATGAAGACTGTTGGATTGTGTACAGAAATCCTCGGTTTAGTTAAGCGACTTCAATGAACCTGTTATATACTATATGCTCTACTATGACAGAGATCCTTAGAGCAAGAATCCATATTTCATCGGAGTAGAAAGAATGTGAGGCAAGGACTTCTTTGCATAATCCAATAGTCTTCATTCCGCAGCAATCGTACTTGGTTTCCGATGATACCAATTAAAGAATTCATTCAAACTAACTTTTTATTGGAAATAGAAGGTCATACAGCAATAGATAATCTTAAAAGAAGAAAAGTATGTTAGGTTTGCGCAGAAAAATAAAATTGGTTACGCAAAGCATGGTAGTGAAAAAAATATTTGATCTTTATGAAGGCTGAGGGTATGCAAGTAGATCGTTAATGATATATGATTTAAAGCAATAATAATTATATGTAGAAAAAGTGGGTTTCGAAGAATCCTTTAATAGAATGATGTTGGAATACATTTGAATTCGTTTGAAGGTGCGAATGGAATGGATTCTTACCGAAAGCTGTAGGGGGATTGCATTGGAGCTGTGATTGTACATTAGACGAATAGGTCCTCGGCGCACCATCATGCCGCTCCGATAAATCATTGTTGAGCTTTCATCTGTCATGTGACTGACCACGTCAGGGCAAGAGACCATGCCTAAAGATAATTCATCAAAAAAAACGAAGGCAAGAAAGATGGCCAACTTCAAACCTACCTACTTCTAATAATCCAATTTGATGCACTTATGCATCTCATGTTTTTGTTAGATATCCTATGCTTTACCTAGAAGTTTGAGCAAATGTTGAGTTAAGTGGCTGAGGAATGCATGCGAAATTGTGCAGATGACGCGTAAAATGGATTTAATTGTGACTGAACAGCTGCATCTTCCCTTAAATCACCTATACTTTTGATCCCGCAATGTTACCGCATGTCATTGAGTTCCATTGCACATGTGTTATGTGAATGCATTGCTCTCGAAATGAATATGATCTCGGAGTCAAAACCAGATT